CCCACTTGTTCACTTATGTATTGAAATAACTAAATTATATGCCTTACTTCACTTATTCAAAAGCTATAAGCTTCACAACAGTCTCTTCTATTTCTTTCCTTTTAGAACCAAGTACAATAATGGGTGGGCTTCCCTGGTGGCTCAGTGGTAAAGAACCTGCCTGCCAATGCAGAAGATGTGGGTTAGATCCCTGGATAGAGAAGATCCCCCTGGCAACTCGCATCAGTGTTCTCGCCTGCGAAATCCCTTGGACAGAGGAGTTTGGCAGGCTACAGGCCATGGGATTGCAGGAGAGTCAGATACAACTTAGCGACTAAACAACAACATAATAATGCGTACAGAACAGGCCCTCAGATAGGGTTTCTAATTTTCAAAATGCAAAACATTAGAAATTACTTAGCGTATAGAAGTTAGTCAGACTTACCCTAAAATCTTCCTTTTGGGGAATACAGAAATACACAAAACTCCCCAGATTCCTAACAAAATTCTTCAGAATAAAGACAAATAAAAGTGTACCTAGAGCAAGTTTTCACATTAGAACAATCTTAGACAATAAAAGAATAAACTGCAATTCAATTAAAATTAAAGTTGTCCAGAAATAAAGTTAATTTAAAGGTTCAGTATTAGCAGGTGGTCAAAGAAAGTTGTAGTATTTTCATCATGAAACATGAGCACAAGTTAATAATTAAGTCTTTGTTGTTTATTTGATGATTTTATTGCTCTTTCTGGGTTAAGGCTCACAAAATATTAATTACAATGACTTTAGAATTACAAAAACAGCAACAGAAAACATGAAAAAACAGTAAGGTCCATCTATATGCTATTTCTTTAAATTAATAATGATAATAATGTTCTATCCCAACAGAAAAAGAAAATTCAAATATGTTTCCCATGAAACTATACTTCAGAAACTGAAATTCAAAGTTGACAGCTTTCAAAGTACAAAGAGAAATAACTCAAACAGCCAGAACCCAGTAGACCACAACGGCAATCAATAACTGGAGAGTACAGGAGAGACCCACTAAAGGTTATAAAATCCAGTTGTAAGGTTCGTTGTAAAATCTGTATCTTTAAATAGCTACTGACATTTACTTGTCATTCAAACCCACCTTTGAAGAGAAGTCCTCCTCCTGTGGCTCTCACCCCTTCCCTCCTCTCCCACTGCTCCCCAACCTCTTCACACAACTTTACTTTTTGAAGAAGGAAAGCAATTTTAAGTATTATAATTCACCTTTTAGACATAATTTCACAAATATATGCTACCACCTGAAGAAACTTCATGAAATGCCCCAAGCTGTTCACCACCCAGGGACTACAATCCCACCCCCCTTGCATTCAAACAAGGCTCTGTGACAAATTATTACCAACAAAATGCGGGCAGATGTTTGTCTTTGGGGGTTCTTAAATGTCCTGTAGGTTACAGGCAGGGCTCCAAGGCTCCAGGGAACAGTGGAGACATTAGACGTAAGGCGTCTATTTCCCTCAATTACCACATGGAGAAAAGCCACAAGCCTGCTAACAAGGAGCACCTGCATTAGTCTGTTAATGTGAGCAAAATTCAAACTTGCATGTGTTAAGCCACTGAAATTTTGGAATCTATTTATTACCCTAATTAGCATTACCCAAAGTAAAATATGCATGAATATTAAATATTTCAATTCCCCCTAATTAAAAATATTTATAAGGGGTATTTTGGAAAGATTATCTAAAAGCCCATTTAAGTAACACTAAATTTTAAAACCTAAACAATTTTCCACCTTAATTTTCTTGTAAAGTAACTACTTTAAATGACACCAAGAGGAGTCCCACTGTAAATAATAAAGTTCACTGTTCACTTATCTTATTATTTCATTAACATTTATTTTCATGATTAAATAAAAATGTCTTTCTCGAGTCTCCCAATTAAAAAATTCAAATTATTATAGTAATATTCATGTCTAATAATAATTCATAATGTCTAATGAAAATTATCAAATTTTCCCTGAGTTAAGGGCAAAATTCATTTCCATGTTATTGTTTTTAAAGTATTAAAAATTATCCCTAATTTTCAAGAAATTTTCCTTTAAATATAACCATATGGCAGATAATTCTGTCCACTGTAAATGCACACACACCCATAATATATACACTTTAACAAAACCATGACATTTTCCATTTCCTATCCTTTACAAACATACTTCACAAATGTGTTAAAATTTTAATGCTTTACTTGGGTTTTTTTAAGCTTAACATTGCTGATATAAATAATGATGATACAAGGCCTAATGAAACCTGGTGTTAGTAAACAGAGACATTACAAATTTAAACTAATGAAACTCCTCCCACATCATCTTCACCCTGCCTTCAGCAAATAAAAAAACTATTTAATCTCTCTGTTGCCTTTACCTTAAACTCCGTTTCACTATCCACCCCCCGACAATACAATTAAAATTAAAGAACAATACATTTACCACTCCTCACAGAATTTTAAAAAATGGAAAATTACTGAAAGTTGATTTTTGATAGAAGATTTTTGAAATTACTGATAGAAAATTTTTGCTTCCATTCAGGAAAATATTCCAAAAGTTTTGGTTTTGAACTGAAACTGCATGGCAATTGCGTGGTACTTATATTTATAAATAAGCTCTAGGCCCTTGATCCTTTTTCACACTTGACTGTGTCTTAATATATATGTGCTGTATAAAGTTTAAAATTTTTTTCCAGGACTACATAGCAAGAACTCAAAAAAAAAGAGTAAATGAAACTGAAAGATGCCCTATTCAAAAATATGAAAACAAATCAAGTATGACCAGATAGTCTCTATAAATTAGGACACTAGGCTATTTTACTGACAGTCTTTGTTCTAAGAAAAAGACTTCTAAAATACAACATTTAACGTTGTTTAGATACATTCAATACCTTAAGTATATCAAAGGACTCTGAAATATTCTATTGTCTTGATTTTTAACATATGGTGACATAATATTGCTCTCAGTAATCCAATGAGTATTTGTACTTACACATTTCTCAGTGCCCAGTCTGGGCTGCAGGAGGGGGGGAAAAAAAAAACCACTAATATTTAACTAAGCAGCTACTATGTCCCAAAGATTTTTTTTTTTTCCCCCAATCTATCCTCAGGATCTTACTATAAATGTCTTATCTCCCTGTTACTGATGAAGAAAACAGACTCAAGAGACATCAGGTACCTTGCCTAAAGTGAAAGAACCAAGAGAAATGGCACAGCCAGAGTTCTGAGGTCCGTAAAACAAGTCCTCTGCCCACTAAACTACCTGTGTTATTTTTCCAGTAGTGGTCACAAGAAAACAGCTCGCCACCCTTCCTCCTCTTCCCCTAGACACTTCCCCACGAACAGCAGGAAACATTTCTTTGTGAGACCAGGTTCAGAAAGGAGCAACCTCTGGACATGATACAGAGCGTGACCAACAAGGATCGAATCTGTATAAAGATTTCATCCATTGAGCTTTCAGCTAGATGCGCTAACTAGACGCAATTCGAGAGTGGGAAAGATGAAGTAAATAGCAAATAAGCACCCAAACACCATTGATACTTGGTTCTGAGATGCAGCGCACGCCTACTGGCAGCACATCTACCTTTACAGCTGCGTTCTGCTTAAACTACTCTCCAAATAGCTTTCTAAGAGCACACGCTTAGAGCAGACAAAAGAGGAGGATTGCTCCAGGTTTTGGCGACTGTGAGGGAAAACTTGTTTGCATTGAATACGTGACTATCTCGATTGATAATTAAGGGAACTAGAGCAGTAAGGCAGTATCCCCTGAAATACAGTCCTGCGCTTCCCCTCTGTACTCCACTCCCTCAACACAATGCATCTGAACAGCCGAAGCGCGAGAGTTGGCCGTGCTGAGGAGGATGACAGCTCCAGTAACTTCCTCTTCCTCACCGACCTCCTCAGCTCGGCGCGTACACGCCTTTCCCCCTAGGAGGCAGGATAAAACAATTTCAAACGCACAGAATCCATCCAATCCTACCACCACCACAGGACAGGGAAGCCAGCTTCCATTTCTTCCCCCGCCCCTCTGAGAAAAAAATTTTGTCTTAAAAAAAAAAAATGCGTAAGTATTATCAACGGGAAAGTATCTGCAATGAAAAAAAGAAAAAAGGAAATATGTACTTCGTCCCTCCACACACAGCCTTAAGGAAAGGATCTAAAGAAGGGACCTCGACACCGCGTCTTCGCGAGATTTACTGCTTAAATTCACTTTCCCTCGGGTCCCACCGCCGGCCAGGGGCAGAGCTCGCAGTTGGAACGCCAAAATCTGCCTTCGCCGCTCCTCAGGAGACGCGGGGGCGGCTGAGGCGGCGGCGATCCGCGCGTCCCGCCTCCGACCCTCACCTGCCCAGGCCTGAAGCAGGGCCCCGCGCCCCGCGAGGCGTCCAGGGAGGCCGGCGGGAGGCAGGGAGGCCGGTCGGCGGGCGGGCGGGAGCCGAGGCGGTTAGGCCGCGCTGCAGGCCAGCGCGCTTCCTGCCGCGGCCCCGGGAACAGCGGCGCGGCCCCGACCCGCGGCTCCCGGGCCCGGTTGCTGTGCGTGAGCCGCGAACACACTCACCCTCCCCGGTCCCCGCGGGGCAGCTCTCACCCGCGAGGCTCTCGGGAGTCTCGGCCACAAAGGGGGGAGGGACGCGCCACTCGGGGGTCCCGGACACTCTGAATCGGCCCCCAGAATCCCGGGCCCTGGGCGCGGACCAGCCTCCAACACACACACACACACATACATGCACCGCACGCGCGCGCGCACACACACACACACACACACACACACACAGACCGGAACCTTCGCCGCCTCCGAAAGAGACGCGGGTCAGCCCCGCACCCGACACACACCCACTCGCTGTGGGTCCTCCGGCCGCCTCGCCGCCCGCCGGAGTCCCAACTCGCATAACACCCCCACGCACATTCGGCCCTCTCCCACCTCATTTCCCCAGGAGTCGCGCTCCTCTGCCCAACGTTCTCGATGCTACTCGAAGGCACGAAAACACTCTACCTCATTCTCTTCCTCCGGCCCAGAAGGAGCAACAGCAGCCATTTCCCCGCGGCAGGGGAAACACACATACAAACACGCGCGCGCGCGCGCGCACCCGGCCCCACAGATGCTTCCCCTCCGGAGCCGCGGCCGCAGACGCAAACATAAACACCCACGGGCGGGCCTCGCTCCCGCCAGCCCGCCCCGAAGGGAAGCCGCGGCGGCGGCGGGCCGGGCCCGGATCCCGGCACGCGCGGGACGGGCGCGCAGAGCGCCCAGGCCTGGGGTCCCCCGAGGGCCTGCGCCCCCCTCCTCACCTGCATTCAGCGCGCCGGGGTCCGGGCGGCGGCGGCGGCGGCGGCGGCGGGGCGGCTGCTGCTGGTGTTGCGGCGGCGGGGGAGGCGGCGGCGGCGGTGGCGGCGGGGCTGAGGGCAGCAAAGACATGCAGGCAGCCCGCCGGGGGGAGAGGCACCGGCCGGAGGGGACGCGGGGCGGGCGGGCCGGGCCGGGCCGCCTAAGGAACCGCAAAGGCGGCGGCGAGGAGGGCGGCTGAGGGGAGCGAGAAGGAGACGGATGGGGGGCGGGGAAGGGACCGAGGGCCGCGCCGCCGGGCTTCGGGGACGGTGACCCTGGACGCGCAGGAGAGACCCCGCGGCCGCGGCCGCCGACGCGAAGGGCCCTGCCCGAGGAAGCTGCGCCCCCGCAGCCGCCGGAGCCGCGGCTATTACTCCGAGAGCCGCGCAGAGCCTAGCCTTGGCCTTGGCCTCCTGGCGCTGGGGCTGCCGCCGCTGCGGGGGTTGGTGCTGCGCCTGCTGCTGCCGGGGCCGAGAGTGCTGCACCGAGACGCCAGCTTTCGGTGCCTCCGCTCTCGCTCACACACGTTCACACCCCCGAGAGTCGGGGGAGAGGCGTCCGCGCGATATCGGTATTGAGATTAATAACAAGGTGCGGAGAGTGCGAGAAGGAGGAGGGTTGATTGACGTGGAGGGGCTGGCGAGAGTCAGTCACTCCCCCGCGCGGAGGGGTGGGGTGAGGGGGGAGGAGGCGGAGCTTCAGCGGCGCGCCTTGGCCCCGCCCCCGGGGCGCCGCGTTTGGCCGTAGTGCGCGTGTGCGCAGGACTGCCAGTTCTCTTGCCCATTTTCTCCTTTACCCTTGCTGTTTTCTTACTCGTTTCTCTTGGCATGAGTGAAGAGCCGAGCTGGGGAGGCTCGTCGGTTATCAGAAAGACACAGCCGCAAAGCCACGGTGGGTGGCGGGAAGACATTAGCGATCCCGCCTCACCCGGTGTTCGCGCGGGGACTCGGCTCGTTTACTGCGCGCTCGCCTGAGGCGGCCTGACCGCGAAGCCCCAGCGCCGCTCAAGGCGGCGATTGGGACGCCAGGTGAGATGAAGGAAGTGACCGAAGAAAATGTTTCCTGACATCTTCTGTGGTTTAATTTTTTTTTAACGTGTAGCATCTGTAAGTTGCATTGCGAGAGGTAAATAAAAGAACCTGTGACGCTCTACGTTAACCCTGTCCTATTTATTTTCTGAGGCTCCCCCCTCACAGTAGAAATACATTTGCTTGGCCGAGAACAGAGTTAAAACGGCAGTGTACACTAGCAATATGAATGTTTACTTGGCGTATGTGGCCTTGACATTTTAAGTTTATGGGGTTTATTTTGTTTTTGTGGGTCAACTTCAGCTTTTAACACCAGCAGTCCGAAAACAAACCAGCTCTAGAGGCAAAATACTGCTGTTACAGAGTTTTGCATAATCTCTTTCCCAATGCATGCCTCGGGCTTGCGTACTTACCAGTGTCAAGGGTATATTAGCAGTGTTCAGGATTCCCCACGCACCCACCCACCCACAGGGGCGGTGTTTAGCACATTAAAACGTGGTGTTGGTTGCAATTAATCTTAGGCCCTATTATTGAATGTAAGAAGTCTTCACCTCTTGGGGTAAAAGTTGCTGTAAAAATGCAAATCATCATTTAGCCACAACGGAGCAGTTATTGAAAGAGTCCACCAAAAGAAGAATTGCATTAGTTTCAGCTTTGTCACCAGGAAGTGTGAGTGAGTAATTAGAGAAGCCCCTCAAGACGTAGAAGACCGCAGGCTACTTTGTTTTCCACCTGCGTTGTTTCCATTTCCCTGCCTAGCAACATCACCCCCAAACCAGCTTCTGTAAATGGGTCTGAAAATGGCCTAATCGTAAAAGAAGTACCACTCACTCCTAACGATCTTGATTCTAAGGCTTTGTAATGGACAAAGCCAAACAAGTCACTTCAGGAGCCCAGAATAGTAAACCCGCCTCAGCGGCATCTTGCCACAGCGTTTCTCCTTGGCGTAGAAATATTTGCCCCAAGGAGAAATACTACCAAATGATGAAGAAAAGAGGAAAATAAACACCTGAAAAACATAAATCAGATGTTGGGATATTCTCACAGATTTAAACTTTTTCAGATACCTGTAAATATATATTCAATAGATTCCTAGCCATTCATATACAGTAGACATCTCTGGAGGGTGTGTTATATTCCAGATATTGTATTTCTCATCAGAGATACAAAAATAAACATATATGGTCCCTGTTCTTAAGTAGCTTACAGCCTTTGTAGGGGAAGCCAACCCATAAACAGGAAACACATAGAACACACCAGAAACGAAAGTGTGAAAGGTAACAAAAAATTAATAGTCACAATGAGGCCCAGGAGGATAAAGCTGATGGCACTAGCAGTTTCACTGGAGCCATGTGATACCTGCCAGTCTCACGGGCAAACTGTCAGTAGTGACTGGAGTGAGGAAGGAGGAGAGAACCTCTGTGGATGGTGAAGAAGCACTGAGATAAATGTTTGGGTTTGCTGGTCCTGAAGTTCAGATTTACATAGGCCATGTTCATTGTTGGCCTTTAAATTTAAATACTAAACACATCACTATCCGCTGAGTAATTAGAATTGTGATAGTCAGAGTTAAGAATAGTGAATTTTATTATTTAAAAAGGGCAGTTGAATGCAAGTTAAGCTTAAATAATCTCTACTGTCCGGCCGTTCTCTTTACACCTTCGAAAATAGATTGGCTCACCCTAAAAACAGGAAAGCCGTATTTTCATATATTAATGAGTATAACCATATTGTCCAAAAAATAGGTTGTTTTTCTCATTTGCAAGAAGATGAAATTAAAGGAATAATAATTTTCGAATAGCTGGCCCTGTACAAAAGCTGAGAAATCATAATCTTCACTGATATCTTTAAAATTCCCTCATAAGTCTCCAAAAGACATTCCAACAACAAAAGAGTAGTACCTAAGCCATTTTTTAAAAGCAGTTTTATAGTAGTTCAAAGTTCACAGCAGAATAGTAACCTGATTTTGATAGCTTATTTCATGAGAATTTTCCATGTTTGACAGATGTTGCAATTTTTAAATGAAGATTTAAAAAAAGAGAGAAAGAGAACACAGTTCGATGAAAGAGAAAGCATAGAAAAAAGTAGAGAGCTGATTTTGAAAACTGAGTTTTTAGGGAACTGAAAGAGAAGGAGCATATATTGAAAAAAAAAATTTTTTAATAACAACACAATAAAATATTTCTTTAAAGAAATGATTTATCAAAGTAAAAACTAATGGGTTGAGTAAGGCCTTTTTGATCAAAATGGTTTAATAGTAGAACTGTGTAGGGTACAATTTGTCCTGAAAACACTTATGTTTATTTGCATTATAAAAGAATTGGTTCATTACTTCTCAAAAAAAAAAAAAAGACAATGTTCTAGTGACCACCTGCATCTTTTCCAAATTAGCAATTAATATTTTATCTGAGTAAATCTGATCTCTCCATGTTTTTTCTGTTGGTAGCATGGGTAGCCAGATCTATAAAATCCCTTATAACTATATTCCTTTGTTTTCTGAAATTCTGTTGAGCAGCTTGCTCAAAAGGCAAAGATTTAAATTTTGTAACCTAAGAATGTTATTACTACTTTATAAAGAATCAAATATTATTTTATTGATATTAGTACACATTTCTATACTAATAGCTGTAAAACTTTTCAAGTATTGCATTTAAATTATTTAGTAAACTATAATTAATAAAATAATTAATTGTAATTTACCTGATGTTCATTAGTACAACATTTAAGTAGGTATTAATCAAGGTGATCTTAAATTTTTAATTCCCAGACCTCCTGACAGGGCTCCAAACTATATTCCAGTGACATATTCTACCTTTTATTGAACTATATTCCTCTCCATCTTCCCATCTTTAATCATCTTATTCCTCTTCCTCCTTTCCCTTTTATCCCCTTGGCTAATATTTTTGGAGATGCCATATACCATAGGTATGTTTATCCAAGAAAAAAATGGCTTCATTCATTGCCTCCACACCTCTTCCAGTCCATCAACTCTCTCTTTTCATCAACCTCCTATTTGTTCCTTTCTCTAGTATGATTATGGACGACACCGAGGACCATTCCACTCTCTTGGTCAAAGATAAACATTTTCCACCATGTTTAATAGTGTGCTGTATGATACACTGTGTGCTCAACTCTTTGAGCAGTCGTGTCCAACTCTTTGCAACCCTCTGGACTGTAGCTCACCAGGATCCTCTTCCATGGGATTTTCAGGCAAGAATACTGGAGTGGGTTGCTGTTTCCTCCTCAAGGGGATCTTCCTGACCCAGGGATCGAACCCACACCTCCTGTGTCTCCTGCATTGCAGGCAGATTCTTTACCTGCTAAACCATCCGGGAAGCCTCATGTGATATGCTAGTCCTAGATAAAATAATGAAGTAGACCACATTTATTTTAATGTCCTCCTGCCTCTTCTCTCTATACTCCCAGGATCGAGTCTCAAGTCCCTTGAACCCCGAATATTCAGAATCTCCAACCCCATCATCATCAGCACCATTCTTTCTAGTATTTCCCTACATTCTAGAAATGTTCTGGAATGTAAGTAAGTTCCATGACCACCACCAATAAATATCCAGTGTTTCAATTTTTTAAGTATTTGGAGGTATCTGGTGTGCTAGTCAATCAATAGAATCAATTATTTTGATGTTGTACTTCAATGATCTTCATGGAGTCTTCAGAAATATGCTTCAGAAACCACTTAGGGCATGCAG